AAGGCTAAGTAAGCGAACGTTGCTACCAAGGAAGCTAAGGAGAACAGAATCGGTGCAAACCCTACAACGTGATGGCAAAGACCATGCATGAGAGTTACAGTCTGTCTTTCCATCGACCAAACGGACTGCTTGGAGAACACAGAGGTGTTGACGCAAGGGGTCGAAAAGGGCGAGGAAGCAACGACGAGTCCAGAGGGACTTAGCTACCCAAAATCAAGCATCAGTTAGAATGGAGGTGGACCCAGAGGAGTGCCACGGAGACATATCTACTGATCGTGAAGAAAAGGGATGCAGATGTGAGGTGACGAATAGTAGGGCCATGGGCATGGCAGCGCTATGGTACCGCAGAGGCGGGACTTCCGTGAAAGTCATTGATCCCTTGCTCTCATGGAGGGAGAGTGCTTGGTCGTGAAAGGGGCCGAGGAGGTGGAGCATGCAGAGGCAATCTCCAAGTACCGAGACAAGGCTGAAGGGCAGAGGCTGAGGAACTTCGTAAGATCGGTGTCAATGAGCTTCTCATCAAGATAGCCGAAAGTAAAGGACTTCGGGTCATGCAAGAGTGCATAACCAAGGAACAAAGCAGGAAGTACGCGGTGCTGTACCTTTGCTACTCAGCGGAGTAGGCGGCAGGGTTGATGGAGAAGACGGTACAATCCCAGAGGCGACCAAACCTATGAGAGAATTACTCCAAGTTGGGGTGAAAACTTCCTGCATTCCTTTTCTTCACGATCAGTAGATATGTCTCCGTGGCTAACTCAACGCAAGGAGTACAAACACTTCAAGTGCTTCAGAAGTGTGAGCAAAGAGCAGGCGAAGGTCAGTAACCAGCTCGATGCATGGAGTATAACCTCGAGGAGGCGGGCGAAGTCAAGTAACCTTTGCCTTCTCAACTCTTAAGAGAATGGGCGAAACCAAGTACCCTAATTCTCTTATCTATCCGGCAGAGGAGCTCTACACATGTTCAAAGACCCTTTGAAGATAATGGAAGATAATAGTTGTTAAATCCTCACCAACGGTGATCAGTGCTACTGAGAGTAGATTGTCTGCTTCATTTCCCAACGAACTGCCAATCGAAAGCGGAAGTGATGCGAACCTACTTGGAAGTGACAACTAAGTGAAAGGAGAGTCAATGAACAAATTTTGTGAAGGAAGGACCCAAAAACTTCAGAAGTTTGCAAGACGATGCTCGTTAAAGCTCCAACAAGCATCCACCCAGTTCAAGCAGCATGAGCATTTAAGAGACTGACGCATAGTAAGGATGGTCTTTTCCTTCATTTGGAGGATCCGCAGGAACCAACATGGATCAACACAACTCAGCCAACCCCACACTAGAGTCAGAGTCATTGGCGAGTTAAAGCCGCATGGCGGATCAAAGGTTCGACTACTCAAAAATAGCAGTGGAGAGCAGTTGGGAGCCAAGAGGCGCATTGCAGCTGGAGCAGAAGATTAAAGACTTAGCAAAGGCAAGGAGTTGCAGTGTTGGCAAAGGCTTCGACGAGGACGTCGAAGGAATAAGTGGGGGAGAATGTCATGGACAAACTTCTAAACAGGATGTTTGATGTAATGCTTATATATGTCCATGTCTTTTGGTATGTTCATGCTTTGTACAGCATGTAGAGGGACGGCCGAAGGCTTAATAGTACCATTTTAGTTAGGTTGGTGGTCGCTTTAGGCTTGTAAATAAAGATTGTATCATGAGGACACATGTGAGAGATTTTTGGTCTGTAATGGACCATTTTGACCCTTTGTTGTGTAACTGTTCAAAGCTTGTAAAGTCTGTTTGTAATTTGCATTGTCTATGAAGTGTTTTCGGAAATGTTTGCTTGTGGATCTCGAATGAGGCGTTTTCTCTAACCTGTTCTCTCTTTTGTGAGTCCTAAGGGACATGGGAGGCTTCGGGGAGGCTGACCTTTGCGGACGAATATGCAAGGGTGCCGCACGACTTAGGCAAAACCAGCTAAGTCCATGACAATAGTGCAATAGATCATTATGAAATAATTCAAGGCAATGCGACACACATGAGACAAGTCCTATAAGAGGACTTGGTCATATGGATGTATGATTGAGAGTTATTAAGAGATTCACTTTGGTGAATAAATACGAGAACAAGAAGGCCTATGGATTTAATGAGTAAATTTCATGATACCACGGAGGCAAGTTTTATTTGCATGCATCGAATTTTGAATCAGATGAAAGTCTTGGTCATCATTATATAAGAGTTGTATACCACTAAGGGAGAATTTCAAGTGTAAGTACTAATGAGTCCCAAGGGAGACTTGATCATACAGAGGTATGATTTGAGTGCTTAGAGTATTGGAATGTTCCATAGCTCATATTCACTTAAGGGAGCCCGACAAATCAGAGGATAAAGTCGAGTAAGTAAACATTGTTACCCAAGGACATAAATGAGAATAGAATCGGCATGAACCCTACAACATGATGGTGGAGGTCATGCATGTGAGTTGTAATCTGTCTTTCTATCGATCAAGGAGAACTACTCGAAAAATATAAAGGTGTTAAAGTAGATAGTTGAAAGGGGCGAGGAAGCGATGATAAGTAGATAAAAACTTAGCTATCTAAAATCAAATATCAATTAGAATGGAGGTGGACTCAAAGGGGTATCATAGTGCCACAGATGCTGATCTACAAATCGTAAAGAAAGAGATGCACATGCAAGGCAACAGATTGCAGAGCTATGAGCATGGCAACACTATGATATTATAGAGGTGAAACTTCCATAGAGTTATCAATTCCTTGCTCTTATGGAGGGAGAATGCATGATCGTGAAAGGGTTTGACGATGTGGAGAATACAGAGACAAACTCCAAGTATCAAGACAATACTGAATGGCAAAAGTTCAAAAACTTCGTAAGATTGGTGTCAACATGCTTCTAATCATTATAACCAAAAGTGGGGGACTTCGAGTCGATGCAGAAATGCTTGACTAAGAAATGAATTAGACAATACGTGGTGTTGTACCTTTTCTGCTCAAAGGAGTATACGATAGAAATGATAAATAAGACAATACAATGCCAGAGGCAATAAAAAATATTGGAGACTTCTCCAAATCGAGATAAAATTTTCTCTTCTGGGGCAAAACTTCTTATATTCCAAAAGTTCTATAGTGATAAGGAGGTGAATCACAATAGTTAACCCAATGCAAGTAGTGCAAATACTTCGAGTGCTTCAAAAGTATGAGCAAAAAACAAGCGAAGGCTAATAACCAACTCAATGCATTGAGTACAACCTCTAATGAGGTAAGCGAAGTCAAGTAATATTTACCTTTTTAACTCTTAAGAGAATGAGAAAAATCGAGTACATTAATTCTCTTATTTATCCAATAGAGGAGCTTTGTACATATTCAAAGATCATTCAAAGAAATTTAGTATAAGACAACAATTGTAAATCCTCACCGATAGTGATCGATTCTATCGAGAGTAGACTATCTGTTTCATTTTCTAACATAATGTCAGTCAAAAGCGGAAGTTATGCAAACCTGCCTGAATGTGACAACCAAGTAGAAGAAGAATCGATGGGCAAATTTTACAAAGGAAAGACCTCAAAATTTTTAGAGTCGGCAAGGTAATACTTGTTAAAGCTCCAATAGGCATTCAACCAGTTCAAGTGACGAGATGTTTAAGAGATTATGCATAACAAGAAATGTTTTTTCCTTCATCTGAAGGATCCGTAAGAACCAACAAAGATCAACACAACTCAACCGACCCCACAATAAAGACAGAGTTATTGGCGAGTTGAAGTAGCATAATAGATCAAAGTTTGCCTACTCATAATAACGACGATAAGCAGTTAAGAGCTACGAGTGCATTGCAACTAGAGTAGAAGATTGAATGTTCATCAAATTTGAGGATACATAGTATTCGCAAAGACTTCGATGATAACAATGAAGAAATAAGTGGGGGAGAATGTTCCAGACAAAGTTATAAACAAGGGGTTTGATATAATGCTCATCTATGTCGTGTCTTTTAATTTTATTCATTCTCTACACAACATATAGATGGCTTGTAGTAGACTTGACAGCCCTATTTTGATTGGCTTTTATAGTTGTTTCAGGCTTGTAAATGCATGTTATTGTGTAGTCATCAAGTAAAAGCAAATCTGCTAGGAACAAACCATCCAAACAGTCATTTTGGAGATTTTCTAGCTCTGTAGAGTAATGTAAAGTGTCAACCAATACAACACCCAAGAGCTACTTGGCTGGCACATGGTTGAATGGGCATTTAGGATAGTGTCTAAGACAGGTTCGTTGTCATATTCTAACAATATCATGTGGACACTTATGAGGACTTTTGATCGCAACGGGTCATCTTAGACCCTTTTTCACGTTCAGAGCTTGTGAAGTCTATATTTATAATTTGCATTGTCTATCAAATACTTACGGAAATGACTACTTATGGATCCCGAGTTAAACACTTTCTCTAGCTTATCTTTTCTTTTGCAAATCCTTAACGAACCATAAAAAGTTTCAAGACTAACCCTTACGATCAAACACGTAAAAATATCATACGACTTAAACAAAACTAACTAAATTCATGACAAGTCAATAAGAAAGCGAGTAGAAGAGTTATGCTTCAATTTATTGTATCCATCTCCATTTAAATATTTACGGTTTGTTCGTAATTCTGAAAAAGTAAAAATAAGTAAAAAAATATGTGAAAATAAAATTTTAGGGCATAAAAAGGGTTTTCACAAGAGAGCCTGAAGGTGAAGTCAAAGAATTAATGTTAATGTTGCCAACTTCTTATATATCACAAGGTTGTAATTTAGAGGCTTGCTAATGCTATGATTCAATAAAACTGCATGAGATTTACCTTCATGGATGGCCAAATCAGTCTTTGTGCAGATCTAAACAATCTGTAACATGATTTACCCTAAAAGAAGACACAATAAGTGCAGACACAAAAAAGCTGGTAGATTAATCAGACTTCAAAGAAACAGCTGCTAGCAAAATATTTTTATATTGTTGAATCATAGAAGGTAGAGTTGACTAAGTTGGGGTTATTGCTAAAATCAATTAAATTCATTCATACTTTTTTTTTTCCATTGGGACTGAAACAAGGATCAAAATAATAATAATTTTCACTGCGACTTTGTTGCAACAGAGGCTTCAAGAAAGCAAAACTGAGATCTCTAGAGTTGAAGAATCGTAACTTGATGAAATGCCAAAACTGGTTATCACATATTAGCATATGTATCTTCTAAAGGATGATAAGCATGGCCTGTTCCAGCTGGTGACATCAGGCTAAGTATCTCAACAACATAAGCCATGGCACTCACAGCAGCCTTCAGTACCTCTTGTGAACAACCAGGTCTGACACTTGTTTTCACCTGCAGTCAAAGAAAAATCCACTAAAATTACTAATATATTTATTTTAATTAGTGTCACATAAGAAATCTTGCTCACTACTTCGATCATAGTGCACTAATATCAGCGATATGATCTGGTCACAAATATTTGAAGGAAGTTTGCTGGTGCTGCAAAGGGCAGGAGGGCAGTGAGTAGTTGCCAAGCCTCTCTCCTAATGATAGGAATGTCAATTGAGTGACTAAATGTAGTTCAGTCGAGTAAGGCTACCATTAACAAACTACCAGAGTGATTTGATTATTTGATATTTGTCTAAAATCATTCTGGAAAGTTGATCAGTATCATCATGGCAGCAAAGACAGCAAACACGGTCATTTAAGTATTGATTTTGTTTATTAGACGAGATATGCTGCACAAACCATATGAAGAACATCTAATGGAACATGAGTTATAAAAATAACTTATTCACTGTACCTTATCAAGGTAAGATTGCAACTTTTTCAACCTGCCCATATAATCATGATCCTCCACACACAGGCAGATGGTTTTGCTGTCAGAACCAGGTCCTTTATACTGAATTGGTCCTGGATTGGAGTAAAGATCATCCATCAAGTACTTTTCAGCATTTTGCACCAACAAACTGTGAACAAAAAAAGCCAGTGCTTAAAAAATGTCAAAGTACAGATTTGTCATCATTATTATCATATAATGATGAACTTCAGTAAGTAGCTCTCATCAATGTTAATTTTGTTGCAACCTACAACATAAATCAAAATCAAGTTTCAGCTGACGATACATTATTCTTTGTATTTGGAAAGATTTCTCTATGCACAATATGGCAAGGTGAAAATGATAAATGCTACATCTTCTACTTTCCTATCTGGTATCTGCCCCACAACAAACTTCAAAGCTCCATTTTTCTATGCAGATGTTACTCAATGCCTAGTGCAAGCATTTCTGTAGAACCTTTCTATTATTTGACACATTACTATAGTAGCAACAAAGTTGAAAGAAGTACGGGGATGGCCATGTCATTTTGATTATCATATACGTATAGATGAAAGATCATTAATTTGTTGTAAGGGTTTTAAATATCATTAATGTGCCATAAGACTACACATAATTCATACTTAACCCTTTGTTCTTCATAATACTACAATACTATGTTGATGTTGCATCAGACTCCCTTATATATTACCTTTGATTTTATCACTTTTACTAAGAACACTAACAGCAAATTGGAGTATTTACAAGGCTTGACATGAAAATAAGCCTCAACATTCTCTTTGAAGTTGGTTTTGCAGCTCTACCTTCCAACATACTAAACAGTCTAGAACTCAGATCACAACTTCCCCTTTTTTTACATTTTTTAGACATCTCCCATGATATATCCCTCAGTATCTAGAATATGATATGATTTGTCAGGATAGCATTACAAATACCACTATATAGATCAGGACTATATTTGAAATGTTGGAATAATCATGAGGTTAAATTTGTATGGAGACTCACTCTAAAACCTAAAACTGACAAACTCATTTTACTAACTAACATTAAAAAAAAAACAGTTTACCCATATGATTTTCCTTTTAAGTCCACTCCAACCGGATGGATTGATGGTTTTCCAATCAAGGGAGTTCCAAGACCACGCAACAACCTCCTTATAGTCATCATAGCCTGCCAATATATAAGAAAAGGTCAAAATCACCTCTATGGTATTGTTTCTTTAGCGTAAAATTTGCTGTTTGAAACAAAAGACCTGGGGGCAGAGCAGTATTAGCAATTACAGGGACAAAACCAAGGCTCTCAATAAACAATAAGCAAAGTAAGAAAGAAGTTCCCAATTAAGAGCATCATATGGAAGCTACATAGGAGAACGAATTTCCTTATAAAACACAAACCTGGAGCAGTTAATTTTAACAGAAAACAAGAGAGCAGTGATTTTTTATGCTTAATAAGGTTTCACAATTAATATAAATCAGGATTCAACCAATGATATGTTAAAAGGAAATCTTAAGCATTGAAATACATCAAAACTATAATAATGAGGTCAGCATTGTGAAGAGTTCACGATCATAAGCACCTGTTGGAAATACACTTATTAGGTCAGATGCTGGCACAAAACATCACCGCTAGAATTAATGTATGTCGTCTTGTTTAGCAAGTCTAACACCAGCAATAAATGGGCTACAAGAATTCTGAAAACTAGTTCTTTAAAACACATAAGTTATAACAGGACAACTACTAATGTTGAGGAACTATATATCAAACATACAGCAATTTGTCCTCTAATCAAATTGCAAAATACTTTGCAACTCTCATCATGAAAAAAATTGGTCATCATTGGTAATATCTTGTTCATACAATATGATAACAAGTGAAAATATGCTGTTCTCTGCATCTGGAAAACAATAAAGTTCATGTGAAAAACAATAAAATTCGTGCAGTATAAAAATTAATTCATGATGTAAACCTTTGATTATCTCTTTACAAACTAAATTAATCTACATATGCTACTTATGGTTTCAATTTCAAATACCTGTTGGACCGGTTCAAAGCAGGCTGAGAATAATTGGTCTAAACAGGGACTAGAATTACCATATAGTTTCTACTGATCAGTATTTATTTTTTTGATATTTTTATGATACTGGATGGAGCAGGTTGATAGACTGTCCAGTGTACAATTATCTGACAAGTTGTCAAATTGGTCTCAGAGCAGCATTTAAGACCTCGCTATTACTAATTATATAATTCCTGGCTTCTTCCTTCAAATAAATTCTTCACATTTGCTTGGGGCCTAATGAGATGTTCATGTCAATTCAAGATTGGGTAATAGAACAAAAGCTGGCCTGAGCCTGCCATGACCTCCTGGCAGGTCAACAACTCATTTCATGTATCCTACCCATGTAGATAACAGCTCGGGTAAAAAGATTTCAGGTCAGGGAATGATTTGCAGGTTAAGACAAATTTAACCTCAATTTCAAGTTAAGAAAAAAAGACAGAATCTGGGTTGGTTGGATCTTGCTATTAGCAAAACATATGCTTAGTGGGAGAGTCTGACCCTCCAACAGGCCAATTTCTTGATTTGATTCTAATGTATGATGCCAAGGGTCATCTTAAGAGTGTTGAGGTTTAGATATATTTGTGAGTTCATCAATGTAAAAGCATAACAGATGACATACCGTAAGTGGAGCACCACCACATCGCCACCTAGAAACATCGTTTTTAAGGTTTGTCACTGTAGCAATATAACCATTAAGCCCCGCAGCAAGAAGATGATAAGCACCATGACCAAGAGCCTACATTTAGATCAACCATCATGAATCTAATTAGTTGATTGTAAAACAGCATAAACTTGCCATCAACAAGCTAAAGAAGCCAACCCTTACATATGCGTAGTCACAATCAAAGTTGGAGGGAACTGATCCTCGTGCCTGGTATCCAAAGAAGTGGCAGATAGAATTGAACTTTTTACCTGTGTATGTACCATTTTTCTGTATATCACAAATATAACATTCAAAGAAAATATATCAGCTTCCAGCAGAAATAACTTTAAATCAAGAAAGACATCAATGACATATTAAGCACAGATTTTATGTCTGTATCATGTTTTCAACACAAATGATGTTTGAAGGTAATTTAGAAATTTTGGGGGGTTTTTTGCACTGGACACCCCCTATTTTCCATATTTGTCTAGATATCCCCACAAATGTTGGAATTGCTACTACACCCCTGCAAAACTTCAAATAAGTTACTGCTCCTGTCACTTCTAGGTAGTGCTCCATTACCCTCGAAAAGTATCATGGATAAAACCCAGGTCTAAGAAGCCTGTCTTTTAGATGCTCAAACCATCCCTACCTCTCTTGAATGGCAATATCATGGATGTCATCCACCCATGTCAGTACCTCCAGTCCTGCTGCCCCCTCGCCACCAGTGGCCTTACCATGCACAACTTGCCCTTCCCACCATAGCTTCACCATGGCCTCATCCTCGCTGGCTTTCAGTGAGCAGCATGCTCCCACTTGCAATGCCATTGATATCTGCCTATGCAGTTTGCACTCATCATAAGTAGCAACTTCATGTTCCCACCACCACACCTTTATTTATTGCAAGGTGAAGCATCATCTAATGCCCACTGCCAATGCATCCAATGCTGTGCCGGTATGCCCATAGTGATTTCACCTATAAAGAGTATGAAGGAGCTGCTTCTAGTCTTTTCCCCTCCCAAGGTCAACCCCTTTTGAACTAGGTGACAGAAGCTGACAAGAAAATATACATTACAACAGCTAACTTAGTGACTACACATCTCTAATTAAAAAGTTTGTACAGAACAAAATAAGTTCATAACTTTATCTTACTTGGCCCATCTCAGATCCAGCTTCTTATTTTGGTCGGACACATGGCTGCATCCATATACACCATCCAATAGCCAACAATCCAGTGGGGGACCATTTTTTGCAGCTACTTATCCAACAATAAGAGGTCTAGATATATCATGAGACCAATATTGAGCAAAATATTATGAACCCAACGCATGAGGTTTTGGCCAAAGCAAGGTATGGGGAGGTTCAAAGTATGAAGCCTTATCCCTATAAGAGGTTATTTCCATACCGAATCTCAATCACTTAGGTCTCAAAGGAGCAAACTTACTATTGAATCAAGCACGGATCAAAATATCATCTGTACTAACTTATATGAACTGGTTTTCACTTTGTTTGGTTCAGTATGAATTGAACCATTTAGTAAGCTCATCTTACAAGGAAGTAAATAGATTAGTGGTAAGCTTATAATTGACTTCTATCATAGGTGTCTTTTCTTCATATTCTTCTCTATTTCTCTATCTCTCAGGCTCTCACTCCCTTCCTCCACCTCCTCCACGCTAAGCTGCCTCCTCTTTTTCACCATTTCACTGCCACCTCCTCCTCGCAGCTTTGTAGATGTCGCCTCTTCATTCTCAATAGATCACTCATGCCTCCTACTAGTGCACATCCTCTCTCTCTCTCTCTCTCTCTCTCTCTCTCTCTCTCTCTCTCTCTATACACACTGGGTGGTACCAAATGGTATCAATCCATATGAAACATTGACAATTAAAAATTGGGTCTCTATGAGCCACTAAAAGCCTAGTGTATTGGTTCGGTCGCTGATCTGTATCAATAAATATATAAATAATAATAATTTGATAGTTGTGCTAGTAGAACCTGAATTACATTTATATCATTGAGCTAACATGTTTTGTAATTAATTGAGTTATAAATTCATTACCATATATGATCTTTTAATGAGATAAAATGCAATAATATGTTATTGTCTTCTAAGACAATATTATGATCATGATACATGACATAGATGATACAAATTCAAAGACATTCAAAACCATCCAAAACAATAAAAAAATATTGAAAGATTTTTTTTATTGGCCTACCATTAAACCAAGCATATTGATACACGATACAATATGGTGTCAATACTATACCATTGTGCTTGATATACATAATGCTAAAACTTCTGGGCAAATAAATCAATAAAGAATTGATAACACATAATCAAGGTTTACTACAGACAGATTAAACACTTAAAACACGTAAATAGTTTTCAAATTTCAACTTACAGTCTGTATCTCCATCTCTGTTTCCACCAATTGAGCTAACAATTTCTCTGTTTCAATCTGTCAGGAGAAGAATTTAATTTCACTCATTCTCATGGAGGCACTCGAATATCAAACAATTTGAATGAAACATGTACTACATCAGTTTTATACCTGAGACAATTGTGCTGATTGATCAGATTCAGGAGAAAGAAGAAGCTGCATCATGGGAACAGAATTAAATAAATAACTTTAGTTCAAAATCAAGTTCATTGAGAAAACATTGGTATAAGAGTCAACATTAGACAGAACTTCTTCAGTACTGAAAACATGTTAACACAAAAAATGAATCCAAAGAAAATACAGAATGGCAAAATGAGGCATTGCATGCTGTAACTTTAGTATTTAAACAAATATTACATAAATGGATGGTAAAGAACCACACCCAGTGTTTTATCCTCATTCGAGAAGCTCTAATTGGATGTCACGTTTGAACAAGCCTCAGAGAGTAACATGAAGTATAATTTTACACGATAGTGTGAACAAGTAATGTTAAATCTCATTAACATAAATAAAGGCCATTATGGAGGCTGTAATGGGAAAATCAGTATACCTGCTTCTTTATAAATGGCGGCATAGACTCGAACAAAGCAGAGGCCCAAGGAGACAACTGTCCTGAAATGCTCTCAGTCGAAACACCATTCTTCAGAAGAACATGTATTTCCTTGAAAGATGAAAGATCCAAGCTCAAGCTCATTTTATTCCCAAAATAACAAAAACATAAAAATATATAACCATTATTCTCATTATGATGCAGTTAGTACCTGCAGTAGGGCATATACTTCAGGTATACTTTCAACGAGTCCCTCAGGTAAAAGAATCACACCATGATATTTTCCTATAAAAACAAGATTCTGTCCCTTAAGATGATTTGCATCATGACATATATTTTCATAGAAATGATAAAGAATAAATATATTTTGAATAAAAGCATCTCATTTTGATCTTTGCCTGGGGAAACATTCCAGTATGTAGAAAAAAATGTCTACAAATCTCTTACACTGACCAATATCAAATATAGCTTCCATATGAATTTAGATCTCTTAAAGTAAAAATACTTCTCAAAAGTGCAAAAGATTGGAAACATTTGAACAAGTTGCATTAACATGCATGCGTACTTAATCAGCCAAGAACTCTAATAAAAGATTAAAAATAATTACTGTGGAATGTAGTTCAATATCATGATAAATTTTTAACAGTACTGGTAGAAGGTAATGGCCAAAAAAGTGATCAATTCCAATTCAAACAAGCATAATAATGGTATGAGTTTTATGTAAGGCAAAAAGGCCTGCCACAGAAGATGGAGATCTTCCCACATCATGGAAATGGCAACTCAAGAAGTTGATTAGAAAGAAAAGGTTGGTCTCCTCCAAACTCCAATATCGAAAAAGCTAAAAAAGCACTTGATATGCTGCTATTCTTATGATACTTTTAGAAGAATGATATGATTTTCTTGCATGCACTAACTCATCCACCACATTATATGGAAAGAGCAAGTTCCTTGACTATATATCATGGATTATTGGTTGATAATGAAATTCCATCACTACTACATTGTCGGAAATCAATGCTATGTAATAAATGCTGCATTCTCTTTTCATTTTAAGAAATTTGGAATCACAATGTTCGATGTGCATGGAGAGAAATTACCTTTTTCTGCCCGTGATTGAACTGCATTGCAAATTCGTTTTGTTATGTCATGAAGAGTAAGCTTTGAAGAAGCAACTTCCTCTCCAAGAATAACCTAACCATATGTTTCCAGAGCAACAAGTTACCAGCAATGCTGTGAAGACAAAATACCAATGTGCAAATCCAGATAAGCATACCATATTTGGATGAGACTGAAGAGAACATTCCAAAGTAACATGAGATGCGCTCCTTCCCATAAGCCGAATAAAATAGTAATACTGAGAAACATACAGATGGATTTAGCAATCCCTTAAACTTTTCGCTCTGCTTTACTTGGTATAATTCAACAACAAAAACAATATGATAGCTTTATTTATAAGCATTCATATGTGCCAAATACTTATGCATGGTCTAGAAATGTCAATATATAGGACAAATATTGATGTAAGAAATGTTGCTCCTTTACCACTTGGGTAACCAAGCTTGGAGTCATGGAAACAAATTCTCTACTTTCAGGAGTAAGCTTGTGCACATTGACATTTTAAGATCTTGTATCGGAAAGAGCCTTATGCAGTACGCAGTCTACATTGGCCAAAGATATGTCTACTCTAGGTGCATAGGTATCTTCTAATTCTATGATTATGATACCCTTATTGGAGGCAAATTTTGTGTTGAATACCAAGTTGCTTGTTTAGTGCTATTTTCTTATAACATTTTTCCCTGCTTGCAAACTTAAGAATTTAAGCATCCAAAAATGGATGTCCAAGTTAAATATATAGATTACAGTGCTTTTAACATTTAATTAAGATAAACAAAGTAGAATCAAGTCAGAAGCCAATTTTTTAATAATAATTGCAATCAAACAAAAACAATAATTATGAAGAGAACTATCACAGACACTTTTCATTAAGAATAACAATCAAACAAAATGTTATTGTTTTTGTCAAAAACAATAATTATATAGAGAATTATCACTAAATATAGAGGAGCTCTCCATTTCTGGTATGTTGTACTCATGGACAAACATTCGATAACACATGTGCCGTAAAAGAGCTTATGTAATCATAAGTCCAACTGGAGCTTTTGTTGATATGATGGAAATTATCATGATACATTCGTATCATACTTAGGAATCCTATTCATAGAATCAAGCTCACACTAATGAGTAGCGTCAAGACTATCCCTTGTAACTTAAGCCATTGTGGATCTTGCCTTTTCCATTGCTACTACTCATTTATGCACCAACCACAGCAAAATGAATTGCTTCCATGATTAATATTCTAAGGGGCAATGGGCCAAAACTGTGCCAGTAGTTTGGTGAGGTCATACGATGGCCATGGTCAAAGGATTGTCAGAAAAGGAAGGAGATTGGAGCACATAAAATCCATGTGCTGAGGAGAGAGAAAAAGTGATTGGTAATTGAAAAGGCAGAAGTATATAAATGAAAATTGCAACCTTTGACCAATATGCAACCAGAACAAGATTACAAATACATGTCGGGCTGGTACATGTCAAACATTATTTTATCAATCCGATCAAAAATCGGTAACAAACCATATAGGTCGGTACCAGCCAGCATTTAATTTTCCCTTTCATGGTGATATTGTATGGTACAAACCAATATATCACACGGTGTACAAGTATCATATGAATCCAATCAGTATTAATATGAGATTTAAGTCATTGAATCAAAACTTCAAAATTTTCACCTATTTTGTACAAGGTATAGAAAACCAGTTGTGCTAGTCCATGTCGATTGGTATTTACTGGTCCAACCAAAAACTAGAACACGATCCAAATGATTTATCCCGTTGTTGGTTCAGAGATGGGGTTACATGGTGATAAGTCTACAACCTGGTACCACTATCATTTTTCTTGCAGTTATCTTGCTTCTTCTTCCATTTTCTTTAATCTTTCCTGAGTTGTTTTTCCACATAGTCCTAAACCCTTTCTTTCTCTCACTCTCTCTCCCTTCCTTCTAAGCCTCTTCCTTCTCCTCCCTGTCACCTTGTCCTGGCCAATTTACCGCCTAACTGCCGCCATCCCACTACATCAATGCCTCGCCCTCATTTGACCTGTTGCCTCACTGTCGTGGATCCACTGCCTCATTGCTGCCATCCTGCTGGATTGTTGTTACCGTGCCACCGGATCATCACTTCCTCCTTCGCCTTTTGTAGACCCCCTCCTCCTCTACTTCTCTTCTTTCCACTCCTCTTCTCCTATCATCTTCCTCTTCTCCTCCCTTCTCTCCCTCTTTCTCTTTGGTTGGCGTTGATCAGTATTGTTAGTGTATGGTGTACCATGTGTTGATATGCTTTTATGTACCAGACCTATATCGGTCCAACCTGGTATCGAGGTTTTAAATTTGGATTTTGTAATCATTTTAGCTATGGGATGGTATATGAATTTGTATGCCATGTGGGGTACCCAATATGGCCCATTCATATGTAGTCATTGAAGCACAAACTTGAGTTGAGTATATGACAATAAGGCCAGCCATCTAATGTTTTATGCAATTAATGAATATGCCTTTTGTTAACTTTTACAAAATTTATAAGACTAGTGAAACAAAAAGGCAAAGAGCATGCAACTCGAGGAAGGTGGTCTAGGGAGGGTCAACATATGTAGACTTACCTTGTGTAGTTTATGAATAAAAAAGAAACAAATGCCCAAAAAAATGAGTATAAAAGAACCTTCAGGAGTAATTAGTTTCTTAGATTACAATACATTTTCCAATATAAAACAATAAAATTGGATCTGTAGAGACTTACGTCAACCAAAAACAATTTGTTTGAACATGCTTAAAAGAACTTAGTGCATTGGTTAGGGAAATTAAGATGACTCCAAAAAATTAAATGGACAAAATTAACATGGTGTATCCCAAGCTAGCTGGAAATAAAAGCTAGTTACTCTTTGTTGCTTCATGAAGCCCCTAAATCACAATGTTTTCAGATGCAAGTACGAGGTGTTTGCCAAAGTTAAAAAGATCATAGATGGTAGATACTATACAAAATCATGCCAAGATTGTTTCTACTATTTACAAGTTACTTAATAAGCACCAATATGTGTGGTTCTGCTTTGGACTCATACAATAAATGAAAAGTTCATACATAATCCTTACAGTCAAGAAAGGATTAAGTATTCTTGTCATAATTTGATAGGTTATTTCTGTGGAAGTTGTTTAGCTTAAATATGTCAACCAGATTGATGAATTTACTTTACACAGTCAAAAGATAATAGACTTCACAAGACTGGTTTTGTAACCAGGAAAAACAATGAAATGATGTGCAATAAAAGCTTCACATGAATCACAGAATGATTTGAGTGATTAATTTCTGACTGAATCATCTGAACCTCATGCTAATTAATAACCTTCAAAACTCTCCCAATTCTAGGTATAGATGTGATTTAGCACATGCAAAGCAACTAGTTAATTAAAATTTAAGCTATGTAAAACATAAATACCAAAATAGAACAAATCTATCATCCATTTTGTTTAGTTACTTAATTTCTTCTTTTCTGCAAAAAGGGACCAAAATCACCATGCAAGCAAAGAAGATAAGGTAATCACTCAGTCCTACCATTTTAAGACTTGACAATTTAGAAAAAGATAGTTGATGAGGGTTGGATCCTGGTTGATCCTTGTGTTCCTTTTGAATCTGCAAGGCTAAGTTTACATATATACATATGTACATCCACAAGTATATATATATATATATATATATATATATATATATATATATATA